GGCACATGGTTGCAACGTTGGGTTGCATCGCGTCGTGATTCGTTTCCCTCCTTATTTCTTCCAAAGATCCATGTTGTGGAAACTCGCAGTGCTACCTTGGGAGACAGGATCTACAACTACCGCACATGGCAACGCAGGTGGACTCCTGACATGTCTTTCCCGTGTCGCTGTTCAGACATGGATGACTGCCACCTGTGTCGTGCGCGTGATCATGTCGTGATTGTAGATGAGTTCTCGCGCATCACTGCGGACATTGACATTGACATCATGACCGCGTCCATGAAGGATCAGTATTTTGGCGATGTTGACATGCTTCATCAGCGTTTCACCACACAGCTTCGTAAACTGGCTCGTCGCTGGCATTTACATGGAACCAGTCTCCTCACTGATCTGTGTCCTGTTCTGACTCAGAGACTCTGTTGGATCGGTTGCCACCGCCAAGACCTCTTGCTCCCAATGCCCCACGCAACGATCGTGAGCCGGGGCAAGCATCGTCTACCACGCCTGATTCAGATTCGGACGGTTCAGTTCGTCCACATCCGGGTGCTTCATCGTTCCGTCCATCTCCGACGGTGGTTCATGGACCTCGTGAACTTCTGCAGGAATTCACTATTGCCCTTCGCAATGTACATCTTGAACCGTTCACGGCATGGACACAGGGTGAACTCGATGAGATGGTCAGACGCAAAAAGGACAAGGATTCCAGGCCCACCTACAAGACCATCGCTCGTTTCCTTCAGAAGCCCATTGAGGAAGTCAAGCAGGCCTGGAAGGTCTACCAGCGGCTTGTTAGTTGACCTTGCAATATGAGAGCCGCAAAAATTCCCTTAAAGTGGTAATGCATTCTGTGGACCTTGTAGATCGACGACATGGTCGGCATAGCGGGCATTGTTGATGGCATGAACCTTTTCTCAATGACATGGATGGCAAGGTTGGCATCGTTTGCATGGATGGCATGGATGGCATTGATGGCATGGATGGCAGGGAGGGTGTGGATGTCAAGATTGGCGTTGTTGGCATGGATGACATGGACGGCATGAATGGCATGCATGCCATAGATGACATGGACGGCATGGATGGCAGGCATGGATGGCACCGATGGCATGGATGACATGGATGGCATGGCTGAAACCGCTTGTCTCTCCTTGTCTTGCGGTCTTGAGTGTTCAAATCATGTTGGAGCAAGATGTGCAGACATTCATAACTTGGACCCATGGAGCGCAGCCGACGTGGTTACAGTTTCACGGACCCGACTACCCGGCCGGTACATTGCTTGATAGACCATTTCGATTGACTGCCTCACTGCCAACCCCACCACGGTTGCCACTACTTCTTCCTCCTCCTCCTCCACCACCACCACCGATGATTCTTCACCCACAGTTTATGCCCTCATTGCGAACTTCCTCTAACCCTTCTCCTCGAGGACAGTCATGCCCGGCCACCATGGTATCTCAACGCACACGACGCTCAGTTTATGCTTTCCTACATCATGGACGGAAATGTCTTTCTCCCTGTGTTCGACGTCAACCAGGACATTACCACTGCAGGCGCGCGCGTCATCAGCGGCGGTGAACCATTGCCGCCGTACACTACGGACTTTGTTGATTCGTCCAGCCTTCAGTTTGAAAAGTTGCCTTGCATTGCACCGCTTGCAGCATTGACATTGCATTCTAGTTGGTCATAGCATGAGTGTTTCGCCGCAGATCCCTTGGCTTTGCGCTTCCTTGTAACAGTATTGTGACGACTCATTTGGCTGTCATGTATCCGCACTATTTTGAGTACCACATTGAGAGAGGCCTGGAATGGATTCGGATTTACACACCGGGTCCGTGGCAGCCTGTGGCCACAGCCACCCTGGGACGAGCCCCGGACCACGCCTCCACGTATCGGGAGTGGCGCAGGGCATACCACTTCGATGTGTACTTGCCCACCGGAGGCACGGCTGCGGATCCCAATGTCATGCCTGCTTCCTACGCGTCCTATTACGTGTGGGAATTCCGAGACTGGAACACGCGAGGTTATCAACGCCTTGGTATTCCACGACCAACCATTCCATCGACGGATTTCGTGAATGACGAAATTACTTCCTCGTCGGTGTCTTCAGTTCCTGATGGTGCGTGCGGGAACCTTCTCCCCCACCGAGCTATGATCCCAATTTCGATTGGAACGAGTCGGATTGATGCGTGAGCAGCATGTTGGACAAATCGCTGTGCTTGTTGAGTCAAGCTGCATGTGCACTTTTTCTTTGACCGTCGCATTGCTTGCTCTCATGTCAGAAAGGTTGGACACACGTGGGGACACTGCGTCTTCTGAGTGCAAACATTGTCGGATTCGCTTACTGCTTGTGCTTGTGTTGCCTTGTCTTGTGTTGTGCGCTTTTTACATCCATATTGTTGCCGACTCCTTTTGATCGGCGCTGCGCGTGCTGTGAGCACTCGATCGAGTGTCTTGAGTTAGCGCTGCATGATTGCTGTTGCATCGCATGAAGTGTTTGTTGTCTGCAGCCGTATAACTTCAGGTTGTGCATCTGGGTGTGGAGTCGTCATGCCGTGGCTGGAGTGGTGCCCGGATCCTCAACAACCAGACGCTCAATGGGTCAAGATTTTTCATCCGGGAGCATGGACACCACAAGATGAACGCGATGACCCGCCTCCGCGACACACGCACAGGGAGTGGAAAGAGTTCTTCACCTCAAGCCTGGCTCGTGACGAAAGCCAGCCCACCAGGAGCACTTGGTACAAGAGGGACTGGACCACTGAGGGCTACCGACGTGTGGCTGCTCCTGATGCGGTTCATGACCCCAATTCGATGTTTCCTCATCAACATAGCGTAGCCACGCAGTCTTCGGCTCTGAGTATGACACCGCAGATGTTGAGTGAGATTCTTCGGTCTTCGGATGCTTCTGAATTCTCTGTTGACGACCTTACTCGTCTTCAGGCTGGGATCAGTCAGCGACTGTCTCAACGCGCGAGACAAGCGTCACATCATCCAGTACATGTATCGTTTGGAGTCGCACCATCCGAATCTATTGGGGTCGCTGATCCAAATACCACTGCGGGTCAATCAGTCAACTCCAACACCAAGGCGCAGCCCATCTTCGAGCTAGGTGACGTATAAACCGATCTACATTGCTCGTGGCATAAAAGAGAGTCTTCTTTGATCTTGCTTGCTTGTGTGTTTGTCGGTTGTGCTTGGTTATGCGTTGTGACCGTTTCCTCGATAGCTGGATCAGAGCTCGCGGCACTCCCGTCCTTTACCTCAGCATGGACACAGATGATGTGACTCAGTCGACGGCCGGCACGGACAAACAACACCCTTGGCTCGAATATTCTGTCTGGCAGGACCAGGAGTGGGTGCGGATCTACACTCCAGGTCAGCATCAGCTGTGGCACACTGATGAAGCAGTGCCCGACCTGCCTGAAAACTTGTTTCGGGAGTGGAAACGGGTGACTGAGCATGTTGGTGGAACTGGTGCGTCCAGTCAAGCATGGACAATTTGTGATTGGCATTAACTACATCAGCATAGTGAGGCTGTTGCTGCATAGTTGCTGGCTTTCCTTGCATATGCATCAAGCAAACAGCAAGATTACTATCGGCAATTATGGCTAAGCTACCTACTTGAGTTAAGACAAAAACATCATTGATCATAGCTACGCCTAATGCAATAGCTACTTGCATCACTGCTGCTTTACTACGCTGCTGCAGCATCTGAACCTTGCATGGAACAGCCTTGATGATGATGCATTAGAGCATCTATCGCTGCCCATAGGCCGCTTGTCTTTGCTGCAGACTTTATCTTTGGAGCACAATCACTTCAGCTGCGGTGGAGTGTCCACATTAGCACTGCAGTTCTCGAATCTTAGGTAGGCCGAAATAGCTTCGAAGAGCGAAATATACATCTGGAGTCTAAGTGTGTGTGTGTGTGTGTGTTTGTTTTTGTGTTTGTGTGTGTGTTTGTGTGTGTGTTTGTTTGTGTCTGTGTTTGTGTTTGTGTTTGTGTGTGTGTTTGTGTTTGTGTTTGTGTTTGTGTTTGTGTTTGTGTTTGTGTTTGTGTTTGTGTGTGTGTGTTTGTGTTTGTGTTTGTGTTTGTGTCTGTGTCTGTGTCTGTGTCTGTGTGTGTGTTTGTGTGTTTGTGTGTTTGTGTGTTTGTGTGTTTGTGTGTTTGTGCGTTTGTGTGTGTGTGTGCGTGTGTGTGTGTGTGTGAGTGTGTGTGTTTGAGTGGTTGAGTGTGTGTGTGGGTGTTTGAGTGTTTGAGTGTGTGTGTGTGTTGGTTGTGTGTTGTGTGTTGCGCGTTGTGTGTGTTGCGCGTTGTGTGTGTTGTGTGTTGTGTGTTGTGTGTGTTGTGTGTTGTGTGTGTGTGTGTGTGTGTTTGTGTGTGTGTGTCTGCGCGTGTGTCTGTGTGTGTGTGTGTGCGTCCGTCTGTCTGTCTCCGTCTCTGTCTCTGTCTCTGTCTCTGTGTCGGTTTCTGAACTGTCTGTGTCTTTGTCTGCCTCCCTCTGTCTGTCTCTGTCTGTCTCTGTCTGTCTCTGTCTCTGTCTGTCTCTGTCTCTCTGTCTGTCTCTGTCTCTCTGTCTCTCTGTCTCTCTGTCTCTCTGTCTCTGTGTCTCTGTGTGTGTGCTGTGTCTCTGCTGTGTCTCTGCTGTGTCTCTGTGGTGTCTCTGTGGCTCTCTGTGTTTGTCTGTACTTTTGTGGTGTTTTTCTGGTGTCTCTGTGTCTCTCTTTGTCTCTCTGTGTCTCTCTCTGTGTCTCTCTGTGTCTCTCTGCGTTTGTCTGTGTCTCTCTGTGTCTCTGTGTGTGTCTCTGTGTGTCTCTCTGTGTCTCTCTGTCTCTCTGTGTCTGTCTGTGTCTCTCTCTGTTTCTCTGTGTCTCTCTGTGTCTCTCGCTGACCTAGAAGCTCGACTTTTCCCCACATGCCGTGAAAGAAACCAACTAAAAGGATTTTCCCGATTGGCCGGATCTCCTTACATTTTCAAAGGTTTTGTTTGATTCAGAACTCGGCAGCCCGCTCAGCCTTGTCGGCCTGGGCCAACCAAGCCACAAAGGACCACACAGCTCAAGTGTTCCGGAACAATCACATAATGTGTTCAATGCGATGCGGCGGTGAGGATCGTCATGGCGCATCCCTTCTACTGGACGGCTCAAACCGGGCTTCGCTTTTTGGTGACCCTCGGCAACTACAAGGAGGCTCCCTTTGCCAATGTGCTCCTCAGCAAGGTTCGGCAGGCGATCCAGGAGGCCCTTGTAAATGATGAGAGGACATGGTTCGATGTGGTGATGGACCTGGAGCAAAGTGGAATTCATGCTACAGATGACCGGCCACTCGGCTCGTTGGGTCGGGATGCAAGTCGCTTGGCCAGTTGTTCCTTGTGTCCATTGATTTCACAGCTGTTCGCTACATATGTGATGCATGTTTTGTTTGTCCCCAGACCGCTTCGTGTCCAGTGAATTCAGGCATATACACATATACATAGATCTACGCAATGTTGGTTTCAGACCTGTGGAAACGGGACCGCTGTATGGTCCCATAGAGGCTGTGAACGCAGAGCTTGCCGAGGCTGAAGGGGCAGCCGTTTGGCCTCTTGAAGTTCATCCGCAACAAGTGTATCCACCTGAACTCAGGCGGGCTGCTTGAAAAACGGCTGAGATCCTTGCAGTGTTTTTTCGGGGCAGCTCAAGCGGCCCTCCAACAATTCATGAAGTTGGGCGAATCCAGTCATTTCTGTTAAGACGCGCTTTGTTCATTCCATGGCCAAGTTCAGCACTTGGCTGTTGCAGTGCCAATTGCTGTTTGGGGTCCCCTTCGTTCGCCGCATTGGCCAACAGGATCTTTTCTTAGGGGGTGAATTGGTCAAGCTTTCCTTCACAGTTTCCATCAAGACCAACCCTTCAACCATGGACGCGCTTACGAGAACCTGAAAGCACCACAGGTTTTTGATCCACTGCAGAAACTTTTCTATCAGTCTTGCGCAAGGCCAACGTCCGTGCGCTGGCCTCTTCTAGATTCGATTCCAAATTCCTGTCATGGCCCCTCGTGTTGAAGGCAGCTTTTTGGAGGAAAACAGCTCGCTCTTCAAGGGCCTTTACTTGGGGATGCCTTACTCGAGGCTTTGAATTGTTTGTTGCAATTGAGTAAATCGTGATGTTGCATTTTCCATCCACCCCTCCCTGTCTCAAACCCCCCCTCCAGCTCTGAATCGCAATTGTTTATTGATCCACAGAAAGCGCGTTTGGAATATGAGAGCTGGCCACCCTTACAAGAATGGAAAGATTGGCAAGACGCGTCGGGGGAACAAACGCATAGAAGGTGCTCATTCGGTTTTGGTTTTAAATCGGTGCCCCAGAGGATTGGCATGGCGATTTGAGGTGGTCCTGTTCAGTGTTGGATAGGTTCGGCTGGATCAGCGAAGCTCTGTTAAGGTGTGCGAAGCAAGAATATGCTAAGACAATATGCTGCGCAGCAAGGCTACGTTGAAACCTGTTGCGCGGCGCAACTATGTTGAGATGCGCTGCATGCAGCAGATTTGTGCAGCAAGGGCTTTGTTGAGACTCTTGCGAATTTCTTGTGAAAAACTGCACATGCCTTTCAACATGCTCTTCTGAAGAGGTATGCCATGGAGCCTGCGGCAGAAGCTGCTTAACCAGCGCATCTTCCAGGAGCCCTGCGTTTTTCTGCACCAGCGAAGAAATGGCTTTGCTCAGCTCACGAGACTACCCCTGCAAAAAAAAGCGAGGGGTTTCGGTCCACCATTTTGCGGTCAGGGACAACACATTTCAGCTTCCGTCTCAGCCATGTCCAACGCATCCGCCATCAGCGCCGTTGATCTTAAAATCGGGGTTGGCAAAAACCACTTCAATCCCACAGTTCTCTGGGCAAGGCAGTCGCCTGCTGATCACTCGCGCTTTTTGCAGATGTTTCGCCCCTGCGCATCACAACAATCACGGCTGCGAGTTGCATGTTTCCAACCAACTGCACTTCCAGGAGCGCTTCCCCTCGCTGGTCACACTGTGCTGGGAGGCCCTACTGAACGCGACTCCTTCTATAACAGTTCGGCGAAAGGGACTCATGGGCAGTTTCCTTCCCCGGACAAATCTGGAACCCGGAAAGTGTGGCTCAGATTGGCTGTTTTGACTTGAAATGTGCATCTCCGAAAACGGTTTTTTGCCAGGGGTCTTTTCGCTTATTTGCGTGTTTCCAGGTCCCGAAGCGTGGCTGCCGGCAAAGCATTTCAAAGCAGAGAGAGAGAGAGAGAGAGAGAGATGCAGAGAGTCAGAGTCAGAGTCAGAGTCAGAGTCAGAGTCAGAGTCAGAGTCAGAGTCAGTGAGAGTGGGTGGGGAGTGAGGGCGAGTGAAAGTGAGTGGCAGGCGTGGTACGTTGGAGATTTTGTGAGAGAGGGAGCGTGAGTGAGTGAGAAGTGGAGAGTGACTGAGAGCGAGTGAGAGTTAGTGCTCAGTGGGTGAGTGAGCTTGAATGAGAGTGAGTGTGAGTGAGGGAAGTCGAGTAAGTGAGGGTGAGAGTGAGTGAGAGTGAGTGAGTGAGCTTGAAGGAGTCTGAGAGTGAGAGTGAGTGAGGGTGAGTGAGAGTGAGTGAGAGTGCGTGAGTGAGCTTGAGTGAGAGTGAGTGTGAGAGAGTGAGAGCCAGCCAGAGTTTGAATGAGAGTAAGTGTGAGAGAACGTGAGTGAGGGTGAGTGAGAGTAGGTGAGGATGAGAGTGAGAGCTTGAATGAGAGCGAGTGTGAGCTCAAATGTGTTTCCAGCTGGCTAGCTCTTGACCCACGCCTTGCAAGGCCACATGAAGGTGTATTAAATAGATTAGGGGTTTGCTTGACGGGCATTTGGCCACTGATTTTCCGGTCCAAATCCAAATATTTACACGGAAACATAGAATATTGTTGAGTCAATTGCTTTGCTCAGGCCGCTGTTTGCATTGTCCGGTTGTCAAATGTCAAAGGCATCGGTTCAGCTGAGCCTAAAGGATTGGCTTGTTGAGTTTTCCCCCTACGCTCAGACAGCCCCAAAGTCAGGTTGAGGCTCGCCCTGGATGAAGCTAAAAGCTCAAGGTTAAGCGGCATTCTTCTCAGCTCGTTTGGTTGCAAGTCAGTCAAGCAGTCTTCGCGCAAGAAAGTGCGGGAACCCCGCTGCGGGTAAGATTTTCCTTGGGTAGGAATATGTAGGAATCCTTGCTGAGGTGATCAAAGAGATCAACGGCCACATGCAACACGCGCAGCTGCGGGAGTTCTTCGACCGCCCGGTGGAAGTCGAGTCCTTCCGCAAGTGACCGCCCGGTTTTCTGTGCGTTTCGTTTGCCCGAAATGGGTTGAATTTTCCAAGGGACGATCGTTGCGCGGGCTCTGACTTGTCAGACTGACCAAGTCAGAACATTTAAGGGACGCCACGCTTGACTGCTTCTGGCAGACGCAGCTGGCCAGAATCCAACAAGATGGCCCAGCAAGTTGGCTTTGTTTTTCTTGGCGAATCACATAACCATGCCAAGCTTTGTTGGTAGTCCTTGCGGACTGCCTGGATAAGAATGCGGAAATGACGTGGAGCGCTGGCAACGCTTAGGCCTATCCAGTCCTTCCCAAGACAACCCGAACCCAACCCAAACCCGACAACCCGACTCGGCGCTTTGGAGAAGGGCGGGCGGGTCAGGGGTTGAGTGTGTAACTTATGAGAAATTTTCACGCTCTGCGCACCGGCCTCGCATGCCAGGGAAAGTCCTTTAGTTGGTTGGTTCGTTGGTTGGTTGCGTGCGCGCGGCCCGCGCGTTGTCACGCGCGTCATCAGGAATGTTTTGGGGAGGGCTGGCAACAAATGCGCCGACGATGCTGGCAATGCAGGCGGGTTGCTGCATATTTGCAACTCGAGCACCAATGGTTGCGCGGCGGTGATGAAGGCGGCAGCAACCGTCAGTCGGAAGGCAAAGCCTGGCCATAGCGCGGCGAGGTCGGATTACAGAAAGGGCTGCAACCGCACCGCCGACCCCGCAATTATCGCGCCGGCAGCAGCCACGAAGCGCCAAAGCAAGCTCCGCCCCCCTGCAGCCAAGCGCAGCGGCGCGCAGGCAAAACGGGATTGAAGCCGACACAGGAGTCTATTGAGAATTGCTTCTTTGGCCTGACAGCAAGCCTGGAAGCCCTCAAGGAAGGCCGGCAGCAACGGCAAAACGCAACGTGCAAACGCAGCCAAACAAGGCTGGCGAACCAGGCGCCCCCCGCCGCCCTTCCTCCACGGAAAAAAGCGCAGTGGCATGCTGGGTGAAGGGATCGAAAAAGGACCGAAACTGGAAGCCCACTAAGAAGAGGGCCCGACAGCAAGCCTGGAAGGAACGTCCAAACGCAGCCAAACAAGGCTCTTGATTTTTCCCGCATAATTCCCATTAGTTTAGCTTTGTTTTCTTACAGCTTGCGCGCGTATGACAGCCCTGCAAAAGTTTGAGAAAGGAAGCCCGCGCGTATTTCCTTCTAGCGGGGGGCCGCGGTGACATGCGCGCTGCGTGTTTGCTGCCTTGAGGCTTGCGCCAAGACTGTGCGAGCCGCGCGACGATTGCGGATGGCCAAGGATTGCAAGCCTTCAGGAATGCCCAAAGTTGAGGCCTCTCCAGGATTGGTGTTGGGCCAAAGCAGCTTCGAAGCCGCCAATTGCCCTCCGACGCTCCAGCCAGTCTTGGCCGTAGAGGAGGACGGAGGGTGAGCCCCACTGCGGGGGTGTCAGGGAACCACACCTAATATGGAGTGCAAGAGAATGGATGGAGTCTGTAAAGACTATGTACACAAAAAAGGCCTTGAGCCAAATGTTGCATGGAGATCAAGATATGAATCAAACACAAAACAGACACAAATTTCTTTTGATCTCCAGCACTGAATTACTGTGACATGTTTGGCTTCTTGGCCTTTGGCCGTAGCCTTGGTTTTCTGCCGTAGCCATTGAAATATGCCGTGCTGGATTCATCCTCTTGCTGCGCGGATGAAAAGTCTTGGTGACAACTGAAAAACGGTTTGTACACTTGATATGAGATACCTAGCTGTATCAAAAGATGGTGCAGAACACTTTGTACATGCGGGATCGATGTGAAACTATTGATCTCTCACTGAAAATAGTCTTGTCGTCGAGGAGGATCAGTTGGTCGTCATTCGTTGTGACTTTGTCGTGTGAAGTCCGTCTTTCCCCATCCAAATACAAATGTCATCATACAGTCCGGAAATGTTCTGTCATACCCGGATCCAGTGGCTACGGTACAGTAATATTCAGGCCTGTCAAACCAAAAGCTAGTTTTACACCAATTCACTGTGCTACGAGTGGAAAGAAATGTGTGTCTGTTTTGTTTCTTGTTTTGCTTCCTGCTGAACCAAGAATCCACTCATAGGCAACATGTACCATGTGTAGATCCTCCGCTGCCACTTGGTTCATAAATAGCCGTATTGCACACGCCTGGTGTGACTTGACACTACCTTGCCGTCAAACAAGAGTGCTTGCAATATCTATAGTAACATATATCTTTCACCAACTACGTGTACGTGGCCTGTCCATTTGACTTCACCGGAATAAATAGGTTCTGGGACAACCACAAGGTGTTCTTTGTTGGGGCCACGATTGAGGCTCGGTAAGGTTGGGGGGGTGGGGGTGGGGGGGCGGGGGGGGGCGAGCTGGGGGGCGCGGGGGCGGGGGGGGGCCCGCTGCAATCTGAGGTCCCGCACTCATTGCAAGAATAGGTCCAATGACCATCATCATCCATCGCACTCATCTCGCAAAAATGAAAAGCCACATCATTACGGAAAGAGTGGCACGAATATGCTGAGCCGACACACTCTCACAAATCCACGCAAGAGCAAGTGGACTCCGATATGCTAGGTTCACCGCTGCAAGCTGTAACCATGCAAATGCTGCCTGTTTCGCTATCAAACTCTTCCATAGAATAAATGTGAACGTCAAACGGCCTGAGATCATCCGCAATTTCAAACGTAGGTGTAATTGAAACACGACGAACAGAGGATGCTGTCTTATAAGTGGTTCCACTCTGCACAGAAGGTGTCTGGCTACCTGAAGGTACGCTGCGAAGAGGGTCAGGCAATTTCTGAAACTCTAGTTGCTGCAAAGGCTGCTTATCAGTTCGGCCGACTGCTTGTCCTGTTGAAACTGCCAACACTCGCGCTTCGCTTCCCGCAATACAGGCAAGCGTTCGGGTCTGTCTTCTTCTGCTGAGGGTCACGCTGAGAGTCTCCGTTTCCCTTGCCTGCCAGAGTAGGAAGAGGGATACTTCCTTTGGCATTTTGCCTTTGGTTCTATATCCTTTGCCATCGTATTTGGATTTTCTTTTGCTCCTTTTTCCTTTCTTTCCACTAAAATTACCTTTGTCTTTGCTATATTTGCTTTTGCCTTTCTTCCTAAATCCTTTGCCTTTCTTCCCAAATAAATTATTGTTTTTTATTAAATATATTTTTTTATATTTTTATAATATATATATTTAAATAAGATTAATATATTTTATTTTTTTTAAGTTTATAAAATTGTTTGAAATTTTAATAATTCGTTTTATTATATGTTTTAATTAAATATTGTATATTTTTGATTAAATTTAGAAGTATTATTGATTTTTAGTAATATTTAGATTTTTTTTCAACTTTTAACATATGTTTAAATATTTTTTTATATATTGAATATATTTTTTACACATATATATATATTTATTGAATTTTTATAAAATTATATATTTTTTTAAAATAAAAATTTGAATTATTATTGATTATTTTAATAAATAAATAATTATTATTGAGTTTATATTTATTTTTGTATAATATTATTGAAAATATAATAAATAATTGATTATTTTTTATTAAATTTTAGAAATGTTTGAATATTTAATAATTATATTTAAAAGAAATAATTTGATATTGAATATTGTTTTGCTTAATTTTAGATATGTATTAGATTGTTTAAGAATAATCTTGATTTAAATAAGATTTTACATAAATTTTGATTTTTTTTTTTTTTTTTTTTTTACATTAAATAAATTAATTGAATGAAATTATTGATTTTACATTTTATGGTTTTATAATAATTTCAAAATTCAAATTTATATTATTATTGAATAGGTTTTTTTTGATGTTTTAATTTATTATAGATATGAGATTTATAATTTATAAATATATTTGAATTTTAATGAAGAATTTTTCGAATATATATTGAATACTATTATTTTAAAAAATTGTTTTGAATTTGCAAAAACAAATAATATTTTGAATTATGATTTAATAATATATATTATGAATTTAAAAATATGTATGGTTTTAAATGATTATTTAAAAAAATCGGATTTATCGAAAGAATTTGATTCCCTAAAATTTTTAAGGAAATATAATAAATCTTAAATCTTTAAGGAATGTTTAAATTATATTGTTTATTATTTCGATTCTAAGGTTTTGTTGCACGATAATGATTTAGCTCGTTTTTTTTAAAACCATATTTGATATGAATATTATATACATATTTATTATTTTATTTATAAAATAATTATTATTTAAAATTTAGTTATATGTTTGAATTTTATACAATTTTAAATATTTATTTAGAATTTATTAAATATATTTATTTTTAAAATATATATAATTAAAATAATATTAATTTAAAATATTATAATACTAATATTAATGATGTAAAAATAATTTAATATATATTTTTTAGAATTCCGGTGGAATATATATATATATATATTTTTTTTACATTAGTTATCCCATCCACCTATCTACTAGTAATAATTTATGATGCAACAAAATATCTTTTGAGATCTTCGAAAATATAATATGTTTGTAATACCATATTTTTTTCTACCTTCTATTTTAGATCTCCTTTCCGTCTATTTTGGATGAATTTCTTTCGTTGGTACATAATTATTTTTTCCTTTTTGGTATATCTTCACTGTGTCCGAAATAGATATCTTAGGAAATGCATAGTTCTAACCCAAAAACTAACGTTTTAATCACGAACAAATACAATCACCAGGAGCCTTTGACCCTAGCCCCGTGCACTATGGGTCGCTGGACTGTACGAAATCGTCCAAGTAGAAGTGGTTTGTGACGAGTGAGGTGGCCTTGCGGTCCGGCTGGTCTAGGGGCAGCGGCTCATTCCGTTCAAGGTAGCCCCTCACCTGCTCAAAGCGCGGGCGCTGGTTGAAGCCGTGCGCCCGAAGCGTCTTCATTTACTGTTGCGCAACTTCGCCCGCCGCCCGTTCCACGCTCCGGCGCTCGGCCCGCGCGTAGCGCAGCTGGGGTACCTGGCGGCGCACGGCCTCCGTCAGCCGGCTCACGTCCAGGTGCCGCTGCCCCTCCTGCGCCTGCCTGCGTTCCCCAAGCCAGTTGTTGAAGGCCCCGCGCCTCCTCCAGTTCTCGGTAGCGCTTCAGCAGCAGCGGCTGCAAGTTGTAACTGGGGTACGTCTTGCGGAACCACCGGAGCATCCGCGACTCGTTGCGGGGCTCGATGGACATCATCTTGCTTTTCATACCAGCACGCTTGCGCCTGTTGTCAACCGGTCATAAGCCG